GTCTTGATGATTTATGCCTGCCACAGTTATGTGGGGTAGAGATTTGGTGTTCACACTCAGAGTCAAGGCTGTCTTTTAACTTCTTCTGGTAGAATTAGAAGAAGATGTTTTTCACCTTAGAACACAGCACCAGTCAGCCACATCTTAAACTTTGCTGTCCATCTATACGTTAGAATAAATTATTCTCTAAAATAAACCAGTTGGCTGCACCCTGCTGTCCATCTGTAACAGAATAAACATCAGTGATTTGGGATGCCCAGGGAATGTGAGATGTAGTTGAAATAAAAGAAGCACTTTGTGAACCAGCAATTGGTGGGCCTATGGGTTTGTGCAGAGTCTCATTTTCTCCAATGGGGCGTCCTGCAAATGTAAGGCTCTAACCGTGCAGATCTATTTGCAGGACTGGGGCCTAGGCATGTAATTAACTGAACATTGGTCACAGTAAAAATACTCAGATTTCTAGTTTAGGGTTAGTCTGGTCTGTCGTGTTGCTCCTTGCTGTGAATCCCTTACATCATTAACTACCTAACATTGGTTTTAAAGTGTGAAGTCTGTAACCATTTGTGACTCTTCGCATCCCAGTGTTCACTCCCTACTTGCAATAATGTTGATGTAAAACATGCCTTCTGAGGTATCATTTGAAAACTGATTGTCAATATCCATGTAAAAGGCATGTATTAACATTAGTATGATGTTATAAATGTCCCTTGTAGGATGTTACCAGAACAGCCTAGGCTAGGAAAAGGTGATCAATAGGTCTGTCTAGACAAAGGATTTTGGGTTTACCTTAATTTACATATTAGCAATAAACAAAATCATTGAGCTGAAATGGCCAGTGTTATCCTGAGCCTGAACTTGAGAGAGACAGAAAATTAACATAGCTCATCCCAGAGAGACACAGGAGACTGAATCCCCAAGAGGCCTTCCTGACTTGTAAGACAGAAACATCCCTTTGAGCATATAAGGAACAAAGAGTGAGTCTATCGTTATCCATAAGAGACAAGGAAACCAAGTGATGTGATCTCTGTGATGGGATCCTGTCCAGTAAAAGCTGGAAAGAAGACTGGGGGTGCGAGAAACAGTCTTGAACAAAGACTGTATCTTGATAGTTTACATTTAGTCTTTTAGATGCTTATAACCATTATCTACCTTTATCTCTTTTACTTAGTATCCCTTATCTACATCTATTTGTTAACAAACTTGTTTTATTTATACTATAAACCAACTCCAGGTTGTGTTTGAAAGGAAGGATGTATCTTTCCCAGTCAAGTTATTAAACTGTGGTGCACTTACAGTGAACTTAATATGTTTGGTGACTATACAGTGATACGGGCTGAGAGTTGCAGAGAAACATCTCTGAGAAGCTCAGGTGCTGGAGTCCACTGACTCTTTCTTACCAGGCCAGTTTGAGGCAGAGAGAGCTTGGTGGAGTTGACTGCTGAGGAAGACAGATGATGGTGGCAGGAATCTGATGCATAATCTGCTCTCCAGCAAAGCTCACTCTGTAATAATAAATACTTACATAGGAGCCTCTGATACTAATCCTGAATCCTTGCAACACGTCCATGAGGTAGGAAGATTGTAATCAGAGATGAGCAACTAACTCAGAATAAACATTTTGTTTTTGTTTGTTTGTGCAATGTTCACTGGGCAACTGCAGCATTTTGAAATTGGTTATTCCAGATTCTGCAGCTACGTTTTATTCCCTGCACAAATAAGTTGTGACTGGTTTGTGGGTGTGAGTGGAGTTGGTTTGGAATTTTTCATTGGAAATCTTTTCTGGCCAAAAAAAATTCCTTGTCTACAAAATCAAAAATGTCATTACAAAATTTGGTTTTGGGGAAGAGAAGAATTCATTGGGATAAAATTGATGTGATCGCTCTCTAGCTTCTGACTGGAACACTCTTCTAAATGTCTGTCTGGCCAAAAATGAAATAGATGGTTGCTTTTCAGAAGAGCAGTTGACTGAGTGCTCTGACTGGCTCTCAGCCTGCTGTCTACTCCCAGGCCAGAGAGACAACGGTCCACTTAGTATGTGACATTTTCTTGGAGGAAAGGATTTCCATTCTCCAGCCAGCTATACTTGTGACACAAACCCTTCAGGACCCAAAAGGGTCCTGGTTTCATGGTCCTTGTTCTCCATTCATAGTTCCCCCTAACTAAAGAAGGCAACATCTGGGTGATGGGAAGCAAGAGCACAGGGGACTTCAATCAGAACCAGTAGGGCATAAAGCAGGATAGCGGCAGCTTCCAGCACCTATAGGAAAAGGCCAGTCTGATAGAAGGAGCTGCTTTAGTGAGGAAAGCTCTCCACTCCCCCAGGGAGTCCTTACAAGCTTAAGTACTCTTTATTTTGCCAGTTTTGTTGTGAGCCTGGTTTTAAAATAAGCAGCAGATCAGAGGACCTTAGTGTGGACGCTTTTACTTTTTGCTGTCTCTTTATAATTCTTCACCAAGCCTTTGTCCCAGAGGAGATTCCTTCTCCTACTGTTTGAAAGAGAGCTCTGGATACTGCCCCAGGCATCCAAACACTGAAATGTAGACATGCTAGTTAAATACTAAGTAATATGATATTGTGGGTTTTTTTCCCCCAACTGGAAGCCTTATGTCTCTAGCCAGCACCAAATATATTTCTAATATTACAATCAAATGTACAGATTGCCTGAAATGTGTTTCTGGTGACTAGTCAAGAATTAAGACTTGCTTCTCTAGCATATTTATATTAGGACAGCTCGACCACTTGACAGTTCACAGCAAGCAAACAGTAACGGGTCACAAATACAGTCAAAAGGAAAATTGCTTGTCAATTCAAATAACTATTCACCAAAAAAGTTGTCATTTGTTGCTAAGCTCTCATAAATATTTAAAAATGAATAAGCTGAGCCAGCTTTCTGCCCAAGAGGGAATTGATGTCAGAACCAGTATCACGAGAATGAAGATAAAACATGATTTAGTATTATAGGAGTTATTTTTAATTCTTCTCTTTAAAATACCACTGCTCTAATTAACAGTAAGCTGATTTAAAATACAGTTCTGAAATGTTCTGTGACTTGTCTGCCTCCCATCTACACCTCTCCTACATCCCTAAAAATACCCCCATAAGCCATTTTTATTTCATAGGCCTCTGATCCATGTATTACTGTTTTCCTGATGCATATTCCACCAGCATCATGTACTGTATGTATTATGCATTCCTCTATGCATGGGCCACATATTACAAAAGGCTTTGTGTCCCTAAGGGCTTCCGCAGCTATTTCTGTGATTTCATCCTACAGGGCATTTATATGAAAGTCATCAGTTAACCTTAGCCACAAGGAAGATACAATAGTAACAGTAAGTAGGGCAAGTTCATTAGGAAATGATTAAAAGACAGAATTCATTACAATGAACATGTTTGTGATGGCTGAAGTGGTGGGGTAGAAATGACACTGGAGAGAGGTGACAAGCGCTGTTCCCTTGAACCCCCATGGTTTTGTGGTTATTGTGTGACTGATTAAATATGGACTCACTAGAAGCACAGAACCCTTCTTTCTTCAGGCAGACCTAGGAGTTTTAAAAGCAACTATGTCTGTGTGGTCTCTCTTCTGTCATACAGGATCAATCACGCGCAGGCTCCAAAAATAAGTATATTTAAAATTAGAAGATTTGTGTTTTTATCTCCTATGATGCCATATCTGTAGCCTTCCTACATGTTTTAAGAAGAAATGTGTCTGTTAACTGCCAATGGACTTACTTGGATTTGGTTGCTGCCAAGATTAAGATACAGGGTTTGCATTTTTATTTGTGAAACAGCTGGATCCCAGATCCAGCATTTAATCCCAAACAGTAGTATCCATTGACAGTGGCAGCCCGTCAATACAGGCGAATTAGGCGGTCGCCTAGGGCACCAAGATAAATGGCCATTGAGGGCTTTGGAGGCGGGGAGCAACGATTGCGCGCCAATCCCGCGTTTCGCCTGGGGCGCCAGTTGCCAGCAGCTCATCTAAGGCCGCTCCTGTCCATTGAACAGCTATTGCCAGCCTCTCCTGGGCCCTTGCTCACCACTGCTGTATTCCGGATGGACCCACAAACTTCCATCCTCTCCAGGGCTCAGATTCTTATGACAATGGTGGTAGATCACTCCCTATTGTCTCTTGGGCCTTCTTAGACTCAGGGAGCGAGGGAGGGGGAGATGAACTTTACAAATGATTTAGCCCAAGGGAGGTGGCCTAAATCATCTGAAAACCCCACACAAACACCACTGCAGATACCATTTAAATGAGTTTGATTTTTTTTTTTAATCTAAAGGTGTTAACAGTGCCTGTGTTATCAGGAATGAGGTGTTCTGTCAAGCTAAGCAAGCTGGGTCTGAATCTGACATTACACTCTTGACTACACCCATATTCAGGGTTATTCATATCCAAAGTTGTGGCTCATTGATACTGTTAGCTCATTGATACTCAAAGTAGGTGCTGTCAAGGAAGAGGTTTTTTAAAAAGCGGGAAGGGGAGAGATCTTCTGCCAACACAGGGATGCTGCTATGCTAACAGAGAATATTTGTTATGGTGAGGCCTTCACAAAGGTACTGTGTATGTAGCTTTTTCTTTCACAAATGTAAGCTGACACAAACAAGCTTTCAAGCCTCACACTGGCCTCTTTCATTAACTGCAGACAAAGGACAGATTATAGATTCTGGTCTTTGATTTGATCAGTCACTTGCTATGCCTGTGTCTCCCATTTGCACCCAGTAGAATTACTGCTACAAACAGACTGAATCTCTCTAATTGTCTCTTGAAGTAGATTGCTCAAGTAAAATTATAATTTAGCTAATTATTCAGTGGTGTTTATTCTGTGAAACCTGGAGAGGGCAGGCTTTTTCCCACATTGCTTGGTCAAGAAGATTTAATTGCAATTGTTACCCTTGGTATTGTTAGTCATTTGTCAGTGCCAGACCCTTGTAAACATGTAATGTTTTAAATGCAACTTTTACTAATGTATCCTTTTCCTTCACTTTGCCTTAGATGTAAAGGAGCATCCCATTATGGCCTTACCAAGGAACGAAAGAGACGTTCACAAGATGACTCTCCGGATTGTAGTGCCACTTTAACTGTAGCAGCTCTTGGCCCAGAGCTCTCTGCAGCTGCAGCAATAGCCTTAATGACAGATGAACCAGGCCTAGTTAACCCAGCCTTCAGCTCTGCTTCAGAAGACAGCCAGTCAGGAAGCAGTTCTGGGGATCCCAGTAGAAGTAACCGAAACAGAAGTAAGAGCTAACTAGCATGATCTCCGAGGCTAGGGTGCCTCTTCTGAAAGTTTTACAAATGTCAGAGAGCAGAGAAACCTGTCTGCTTTCTGTAATAACCATTTTTAATTTGTCTTGTCAGCGTGTGCTCCCAGTAAAGCAATATATTCATTCAGCAATGTCTTGAAATGAACCAGTGTTTTGTGGGTATAACATTTTCCCAGGGAAACGAACCCATGACCTTGGGTGAGTGTTTGCCAACATTCCAAGATGATGAAGCTGAGAGGAACTGACAGGGCAAGTCTGCTTTCTGTAATAACCATTTTTAATTTGTCTTGTCAGCGTGTGCTCCCAGTAAAGCAATATATTCATTCAGCAATGTCTTGAAATGAACCAGTGTTTTGTGGGTATAACATTTTCCCAGGGAAACGAACCCATGACCTTGGGTGAGTGTTTGCCAACATTCCAAGATGATGAAGCTGAGAGGAACTGACAGGGCAAAAATGAA